GAGTTGACTCTAATTCGTCATGACATAGGTTAAACGATTATCCAAAACCGCGGCCAACTAAAAAATAAAAATGTTCACAGTATGTAACTCAAATTCAAATAGGGCCTAACACTTTTTATTATTCGTGCAGCGAAATCAAATAATACATATTATGTCGTTTTAAACGACTAATTATATTAGAATGGCAATGTGTTTTTTTTTTCAAAATCAGACAGCGAGCAACAATCCTGTATCTCAGAAGTTTTGTAGACGTTTATCTTTGGTTGATGACCTTTTGACCTCCGGAATTGCGATTTTCGAGTCGAGTTAGTCGAGACAACCCGAGTGGATTTTCATGCAAATGTTTCGTACGGGGAAAAAAATCGCCACCAGTCTACTTTGAAAAAGCGAACGGATCGTTCGCGAAACGTAGTGTGAGCACTATTGTTTTTGATTTTGCTGGATCAACACTAATGAAAAATTTCATACAAATTATATTTGGATCCAAATGAATGGTCAGAATTGCGTCAAATTAATACGCCAACAGGAGAAATTAGTGAGGAATGTTGTACGCCAAAGAAACCACCGAGTATTTTCGCTGCATTGCAAACGACTGAACATCACTCCCCCTAGCCTGCGGTTACGAGTTCCAATTAACACAAACCAAGGGTTAAACATCATTAAGAAAGCAGAAAGAAAATTATTACAAGAAAGGATAAGATTAACGACGAATAACATTAAACAACTAGGTATTGAAGAGGAAATTCTAAGTAAGAAAATCGGAGAATCAATCACCGACAGAGGGGATAATACCATTATACGGAATTTCATAAACAACAGTAAGGAAGCTGAGTATGTGAAGGTTCGTGATAGACAAAAACGTAAGCTAGACTGGTGGAAAATCTAGAAAAGGAATTACATCAAGAATTAGATCTTAATGGAACACAACTTAAGGAGAAATGGGTGGTTAATTTATCTGACTGGACAATCTCTAAACAAGAACGTGAGCTATTACAACGAGGCCTTAATTTTGCGGTAAGCAGAGACACCAAACCCGTGGATGAGTTGATCGTAGCCACCGGGGCAGCATGTAAGCTAGCGCCTGAAAACGAACGGGACCTTATTAGAGGTAAAATTACCAGTATTATTAAATCCTCAAAGGTACCACCTAACAACATAACATCTGAAGAAAGAAAAGCCCTTAATCAATTAAAAAAGGATAAAAACAATCTAATTCTACCTGCAGATAAAGGAAGGGCAACAGTTCTTCTAAACACAGTAGATTATAAAGAAAATGTGAAAACGATGTTGGCAGATAACAGTACGTATGAATGTCTAACACACAATCCAACTCAGAAATACAAGAGAAACTTAGTTACACTCATAAACAAATGGAAAAATGACAAGAACATTTCAGAGAAACTCAAACACCTCTTATTTCAAACGGCGGAAATTACACCTAGACTTTACTGCCTACCAAAAATACAAAGAGAACTGGCCCTTACGACCCATCGTAGACAATATTAACACAATTTACTACCAGGCTTCCAGATTATTAGCAGACATACTTAGTCCTTTGATTGGTCTCACAGAACATCATGTGGAGAACTCAAAACAATTAACAAAAGAACTAAGAGATATGTAGGCCTACGGCCCACCGAGACAATAGTTTCGTTTGATGTCATTTCATTATTCACCAAGACACCTACAGGCCCAGCAATAAAAGAAGTGGAAAAACGTTTGTTACAAGACACTCAACTAAAATTAAGAACAGGCTTGCATACAGAGGACATTATTGAACTCTTAAAACAGGTATTAAATGCGACCTATTTTAGTTTTAACAACAGCATATTCAGACAAAAGCAAGGAATTGCTATGTGCAGTCCTGTGAGTCCCATCATCGCAAACTTCTTTATAGAATGGTTAGAACAACAAGAAATTACATCAGCACCAATTAAAATCAAACCATCATATTGGAGAAGATATGTAGATGACATATTAGCCATAATTCCGGAGAATTCAACCACGCCACTTATAAATCATCTCAACAACATAGATCCGTCGAAAAACATGTAATTCACAATTGAACATCTGGAAAACGGAAAGATACCGTGACGGTTCCCTAAGTACAACAGTACAGTATCGAAAACCAACCCACACGAACCAATATTTGGATTTTCACTCACATCATCCGTTAGATCACAAGTAAGCGTCATCAATACTTTGGTAGACAGATGCAACAATATAGTTACAACAGAAGAGGACAAACATCACGAAATGGAAAACATCAAACAAACACTACACAATTGTAACTATCCCAAATGGGCATTTAAGAAAGTTGTTAATAGAAGAAAGAATAAAGCATCAAACATCAGTGAACGCCAAACTAAAGATAAAATGGAAAAGGCCAGAGGTTCGATAGGTATTCCGTATGTTAAAGGGATGTCCGAACGGATAAAGAGAACACTAGCAACACACAAAATTAACATGTACTTTATTCCACAAAACAAGATCAGACAAGAACTGGTCCACCCTAAAGACAAAATACAAAAAGAGGAAACCTGTGGCTGCATTTACCAAGTATCATGCTTAAATTGCAGAAAAGTATATATTGGTGAAACAGGAAGATCACTAAAAACAAGGATTCAGGAACATCAAGCAGATGTTCAAAAGAACACAGTAGGAATCCGAACAAGATTAGCCAGGTTGTCCGATTCCAAAATTTTAAATAAATCTGCAATCACCGATCATGCCACACAACTAAATCATATTCCAAATTTGGACATAAACATATTACAGAAAAAGAGCTCATGGTTTGAACGAAAAGTCAGAGAATCTTTATGGATCAGAAAAACAACAGATACTATGAACAGAGATGAAGGAGGACACATTCTATCACATATCTATGATGATATCATATTGAACCACAACACTAAGAGGGGGAGGGGGTGCTCGTCGACGAAGCAGCGATGCACTTCGACCTCAACAACACCGAGGTGACGTCAGACCAGACTGGAAATAACATCACCAGTCTACTTGAAAAAGCAAACGGATCGTTCGCGAAACGTAGTGTGAGTACTATTTTTTTTTATTTTGCTGGATCAACACTAATGAAAAATTTCATACAAACTATACAGAGTGAATAGAAACTTTTACCCGCATTATTTATACACAGGTACATACATATTAAAGCAAATCAAAACAGATAACTTTTTTAAAAATATAAAAGATAAAAACAACATTTTCAAATCGGCATTTTCCAAGATATGGGAACCTGTATTTTTTACCCCTAATTTGCATAATTAGGCCTAGGGCAAACTGTGTGTACAGGAACGGGACATATGACCAAGAATGATATGGAAGTAAGGATATTTTTCAAATCATTTAGCCTTTTGACGGGCTTATTTATGCACAAAAGCGCAAGCAAATTTAAATTTTTATAGTGATGTCAATCACTAACAACGCAACTTGGCTTGCGCTTTTCTATACTTCACAAACAGGTGCGTTGAGTGATTAGAGGATGTGAAAAAAACACTCCATACATTTAATTTATTATTTTACATTTATTATTTATTTTTATTTTTTTTAAATTTCAAAAAAAAAAATTGACTATTTATACAGTACGTCACTTTAGTGTTTGTAATTGCGCCACCGGCTTCATTGGGGTACCTGACTATACAAGGTACTCCTGAGTGGAGAGAGACAGGTTCATTAATGTGCCTTGTCCAGAACAAAAGCAAATTGCACAGTTATAATGAAACGCTAACCACGCTAAAGTCGAAAACAGGTCCACACATTCAAATATTTAGGAGTCATATTTAGCTCTTCTGGGTCATGGAATAAAGCTTTGGATAACAACAGCATACAAGCAAAAAAAAAAAAAACATTGTTTTCTTTGACACCTAATTTACATAGATATGGAACACTCCCAATTAATATTTTAAACAGAATTTTTGATAGTAAAATTCTACCTATACTATTGTATGGAAGTGAAATATGGGGTATATTTAATAATATTGATATTATTGAGCAAACACACCTGTTATTTATCAGATATATACTTGGGGTTAGGAAAACTGCTCCAAAACATGCTATTATGGCCGAAGTTGGAAGATTTCCTTTAAGCTTATCATGTTCTATTAATGCTATAAAATGTTGGTTACGTTTAATTAATGAAATTGATCCGAACAGTATATTAGCACAATTTTCAATTAAGACAAACGGAAAGAAATGAAATTTGTTGGACACATTTTGTTAAAAATATTTGTAATTCAATTGGCTTTAGTAATGTTTGGCTTTCTCAAAATGTCCTTAATAAAAAATCATTTATTTACAATCTTAAGTTACTCTAAAAAGACATAGAACGTCAAATTATCATTGAAAGCATAAATACTTCCTCAAGACTTAAATATTTGTCTTCTTTTAAAACTAACATATATTGGGAGAATTATCTATCGTTAGTTCTTGATTTTAAAAAAGAGAAGCCGGTTTTCTAGACTAAGACTAGGAATTCTTGACCTTAAACTTGAAAAAGGAAGATGGTCAAACACACAAAAAGAAGAACGAATCTGTAAATTATGCAATTTAACAAAGGTTGAAGACAAATTTCATTTTATTTTAATTTGTCCACTATATAAAAATTTAAGAAACCGTTTAATACCTAATTATTATTTATCACATCCTAATAATTTTAAGTTTAAGAAACAAATTTCAACAAAGAAACAATCACTTTTGTTTAAATAATTCTTTTTCTAAAATTAGCATATAAGATAAGAAAAGAAAATATATAAAATGCAGTGAATTTATGTATTTTTGGGCCAATGGCCTTTACATACTGAATAAACTACTTTGAAACTACTTTGAAACCACTCTCACGTTGTTAATTCTTGAGAACAAAGAAAATAGAAACGTTATTATTACCATTAATTACAGCCAATATACATCTTTTTGAACTACAAATAACGTCGTAATATAATTATTATATATTATGTGTGTTAGAAAAAAAAATACTTTACCTTATTCATCTTTTCATTAAATTCACTGATCACTTTTCTGTACATTCTAGATTCATGTGCAATAGCATTAGCCTATATAAAGAGAAACAATAAATGTTTCATTCTTGACTCCTTGAAATGATACAATTGTTAATTTTACTGTCACCTTTTAAATGGTTAAATATAATATTTACCATCAACGGTCGCTCATGCACCATTAGTCAAATTGGAATTCACATTTTCATTCAGAAAAAAAAAACTATACTGAATGCAAGCACCCTTTGTAATTAATTATATAAATCCATGAAAGTGCTTCATAGTTACTAATCTTAATGCAAGACAACATATTTAGAAAATGTAAAATAAATCAAATTAAATGGGTCTACAATGAGATCAAACTAATAAGTTATATATTCTTAGATTTAAAATGAAAATTATTCTAAAAAAAAATCTTACCTCAGCCATCGAGGTAATGTTAAACCCTTTTCCAATATTAATAGCTCGTGTATGTTCCTGAAATATACATGAATTATAGAATCATACAAAATAATAGTATTTGTGTATCATGAAAACTCAATAATACCTCAGTAGGCATTCTATAATAGGCATTTGTGATAATCATGATATATGCAATTTGGTCACCATTAGGTTGTTTCTAAAACAAGTAATTTTCCTATGCATTAGCATGCAGACTCATACCTTGAATTCAGTACATAAGCGTCCACATGTCATTTCTTCGCCATCAATTCTTTGGACTTTAGATATTTCTGATTCAAACAGAGTCTTTATCAAATTATCAAAGTGCCCTTGAAACCGTTCAACTGTTTCTGAAAATGAGTTATAAAATTAAAACAATAAATTCTGGGTTATAATAAAATAAAACATTAATTCATCATTTATTTTAATAGTCAATTAGACATTTATTCATTTATTAAATAATGTATTGTGCATAGCTGTAATGTTGTAATAAAAAAAGAAACGAAGAATCAATTATGCCCTCACGTTTGTCATTCTTCACCACACTCATTATTACTATCACCCCACGTACGTATAATATAATATATAATATAATATATAATATAATATATAATATAATATAATATATATTATAATATATATTATATAATACAATATATATTATAATATATATAATATAATATATATAATATAATTATTTAAATTAAATTAAATTAAATCGACTTAAAAATTGTAA